TGGAGGGGCACAAATATGGCCAACATCCATATTTGGAAAATCTTGTGACGTCACGTGAAAACCAAGAATTGGGTTAATCGAGCCTTCCTAATGGAATTCCTAGATCGCTTTGCCTTCGGGCCTGACTTTTGTAGATGGATTAGCATGTGTTACTTGGACACTAATATGCCTATCATTTTACAGTGAGAACACTCAAACCATGAACACCTAAACTATTTTCCCGCTTTTTTGGCTCTTCCAATTACAAGGCTACCTTATAACGAGACACATGCATTTTATATCTGTTGAATCAAAGTCGGAGTGAGCATTGAGCTATCATGGCTGAAAAAAGTGAAGTTTACCACTGGCTGAAATAATTATCTCCGGGAATAAAGTTAGAGAGATTGTCTGTGCAGTTCGAAAGCAGGGGTTTTCACTCACAAAGATCACCAGCCTACGTCAAATCAGAGGATTTGGACTTGTTCTTTCCGTCCCCCAATAAGCTTTTACTGGCGGAGAGACGTGTGTTAGAGGCTGAACTAAACAGCATAAAAACAGAGAGTGGCCATCCGTTTAACCTAAAACACCTCGAGCCAAAGCGACTGAACATGACTCCAAGAACAAGCAGTGCACTCCAGCAACAGTCACCTGAGGCTGCAATCAACGTAAGTTTTGAAGTGAGCATGACCACTTCAAAGCAAAGCCCTCAAACAATTCAAAATCCATTGGACCGAAGAGCAGTGGAACTGTCAGAAAATCTAAAGCTACTAGAAGTGCAAGTCGAAAGTGCCAAAAGTCATCTACAGGGGAAACAAAAAGCCCTTCAAGAATTACCAAATGTTCATGAGAGATGCGCAAAAGTGTGCACTATTTGCCATACGTCTGGCCACAACAGAACAAATTGTAAGAAAATTCCTTGTAATGATGTCAACACTTGTAAGCTAAAGGACGAGTACCCAGAACTGTTGGCCGATATTCGCACATTAGTGTGAACGGAAAGAACTTGAACGAACGTTTGTGAAAGCTAAAAGTGACCACGACGTATTTGCTGCTTCCCACCAATGAGCTAAATCAAGTTTCTTTGCTAGCATGCGTCCACTTCTTAGCAAACAAAACCCCACTTAATATGTAGATCGTTCTGCCTTGGATGGAGACTTGATGATTTTCCAGCGAGCACTGAAAAATAAAGTTCCATTAGAGGAAACTTATGACTGGAGATTGCCAAATCTTATTGAAGAATATAAACATGGAATTGTTGACCCTCTCCGAGTGCAGTGAACTGAAATGAACATTTACATGCAAATGTTGATCACAGTTGTATCTAAGTTGTACCTTTCTCCTTTTATGCTGCAGTACACTGCACTGTTGATTTGTTTATGTTGTGTTGTTATTTTTGTTGCGTGTATTCAGTTTTATTTAGACTTCAAATGACATAATTACAAGTGCAGATATTCTTGCACTGATTTTATTGTTTAAAAATGATTGTTTAAGTTTCATCCTTGTTCTTAAGTAACAATTTCACAGTAGAAGTTTAACATTATCTATCCAGTAAAAAGTTTTGTTTTCAATTTACGTGCTTGTCAATAAAGACAATTTACACTTTTAAGCAGCAAGAGCTAATTTATTTTGTTTTCACGGCTGAGATAAAAATAGCAGTAGACATAAATAGGACAACTGTCAATCAGACATAGCTGCAGTTTTGAAAGTATGAAATTGAATTTACAGGAGTTGTTTTTGATACAGCTTCACATATTGCTACTTCAGTTTCATTTGCACTCAAAGATGTCTTTTGTTTGAGGTAGCACTTTATTTGGTGAAAACAGAATTTGCAAGTGTTCAAGTGGAGTGAGTAAACGGGCTGGAAAATAAGATCAACGCCATGTTCTTGAGCAATATCTCGTAACACTGCCTCCGCAAATTGGCCGGGTGAAATCAACAGTTGCCCATAATGACAACATCGCCATTCTCAAGAACTGTTGAACCATCAATCCTATTTACTGAAAGAGCTTCATTGAAGGAATTCAGCAGCTCCATACCATTAAATGGGTCTCTCAAAATGTCAAAGTAATCTACTCTGTTAATGGAATAAAGTAAGTTTAGTGTATAATCTGTGTTTGCCTGCCCTGATACGCCTTTAGGATTAACATGGATGACTAAAATGAAAATTCTTGGAGTCTGGTACAGCAGCGGCCTTGCTAATGTTGAACCAGATAATTGGGAATCCAAACTAAACAAACTGGAAAAGAATTTGAATCTCTGAAAGTCCAGGTCGTTGTCTTTTCTTGGCAAAGCCTTGATAATTAATGTTCTTGGAGCTGGTAAGTTTTGGTTTCTTGCTAGAATATTGCCTGCCCCGGAGTGGGTGATCTCTCGGTTTGAGACCCTCGTTTTCTACTTTTTGTGGAACTCTAAGATAGACACTGTCAGCTCCAGTCAAAGATGGTGGTCTGGGTATAATTGACTTCCATTCTAAGAGTAAGGCCTTAAAGATATCCTTGGTTGTTTCCACCATAGTTAAGCAGGATTCCAAGGCAATTTTATTTAACTAAGTATTTTGTTGGCTTGCAGCTGGCTAAACTTCAGCCGGAGTAGTCTCACGTCAGAGACAACTCTGGCCCTAGTGCTTTGAAACCCACTCCCTTTTACACTCAGTGTCTTGAGATTATCACTTGATTGGAACATGTGATCAATACCCAGAGCAATCTTCTATATAATGCTAAGAGTTGTTATGTACAATTATTACAGGAAACTGTGTGAAACAGTCTGATGTCCCAGTCGCCATTCTCTTCCTCGACCAGGAGAAGGCTTTTGATCGCGTGGAATGGTCATTCATGCGTCCAACCTTGCAGTCTATGGGCTTTGGAGACTCCTTTGTCAGCTCGGTGGATCTGTTTTACTGTAATGTTCATAGTTTTGTCAATGCTAATGGCTACTTGTCGCAACCTTCCTCTTTGTCTCATAGTGTGCGTCAGGGTTGTCCTTGGTCTCCGTTACTTTATGTTTTAGTCTCCGAAGTCCTATCTGTCAACATCCCTGCCAACCCTAGAATTTGTGGCCTTCTCGTCCTGGTGTCCAAGATCCACTGCTACCTATTTCTCAATACACAGATGACATTTCTATATTATTGTCACTTCTGATTATGCCATCAAAGCTACATTCCAGACTCGCGCCATCTCTGAGAGAGGTACTGGTTCTAAACTGAATCTCTCAGTCTAAGGGCCTTTGGTTTAGCTTGTGGAATGGCCGTCAAGATCCTCCCGTTAATCTTGACTGGTCATCTGCCAAGATCAGGGTCCTCAGTGTTTTCATTGGTGTCGGTAATCTTGAAGTGGCTAACTGGAGACCTCGCATCACTGCTGTGGAGAACGTCCTTGCCTGTGTGAGGCAATGTCAGCTTTCTTTCCAAGGCAGAGCCCTGGTGATCAATGCACTTGCACTTTCCCGTGTCTGGTACGTGCCTTTGCTTGTGCACATGCTGGCATGGGTTCTCAAGGAGCTGAACACTCTGGCTTTTAACTTTTTCTGGAAGGGAAAACGAGACCTCATGTCTCATTCTGTGGTTGTTTAACCCACTCTCTTTGGTGGCTTTTCGGTCGTAAGGTAAGTAAGTAAGTTAGTAACCTTTATTTAAACACGATAAGTAATTAAGCTTGCAGCTTGTGGGGTTGTGTGTAAATAAACAAGAAAGAATAATTACAAAATAAGAATTCGTGAGCGTCAACTTCAAAGTGTGGTCCCTGGTTGCCCATTGGGTCACATGCTTTGCTAGCTCCCCATCCAGCTGGACTGCGTTCATGACTTACTGGTTCTATTCTTGCTTTAATGCCACCCCTGTTGAAGTTTTTTCTTGTCCTTTTGACTTTGATCCTAGGGTTCTGCCTTGTTTCTACGAGTCACTCATCCTGGCTTGGTGCTCGCTTGATGGCTCTTTCTCTGTTGGTCACTCTTCTTTAGTGATGAGGTCATCTTCACCTCATTCTCTGACTCCTGCTATTAGAATGACGACCAAATCCTGCTATCAGTACCTGCTATTGGAAAACCTAGGTATTCCTTACTGTGTCGAAAAGTTTCTTCCTACGTTTGGTGTCCTTTATTGGCCTACTACGTGAAGGGAGCTTTTCTTCTTTGATACTGACTGTCTGGTCATTGACCTTTCCTGGAAGATTGCTCATGGCGTTCTCTACACTGCTGCATGCTGGCTTCTTTTGGGTATGACTAGTACTTCCTGCTTTTGTGGTCTGGTCTCGGAGACCCTTGAGGATTTGTTCTTCTACTATCCTCTTGCTCATAGTGTTCTTTCTTGGCTTGTCTTTGGTATTTATCTCTTCCCCTCTGGCCCCTTCTTTAGTCTGTCGTCATGCCCTCTTTGGTTTTCACTCTGACAAGTTATTGGTTGTTCATCGTATTTTTGCGTACATTCTCAGTGTCTGCAAGTTCTTCATCTGGCATGCTCGGAATGATTTCTGCTTTCGCGATATTCGTCCTGGAGCTGCCTCAGTCAACGAGAATGTCAAAACTTGCGTTTGCTTTCACCTTCCTCTGCACTTCAAAAGACTTGTGTTCTCCATGAAACACCATTATTCTCATTGTCAGTGGGGTGGTCGTGGTGCTGGAGCATCTGTAGTCGGCAACCGTCTCATTCTCCACCTCTAGTCTCGCTATATGGCCCTAATCTGGGCATTTATCCACTTGAATCTGGGTGGTTGCTTGACCCTAAACTGGGAGTTTGTCTGTCCAAATCTGGGCAATTGCTGCATGGTTCTAATCTGGACGTTTTGTCTGCCCGAATCTGGGCTGTTGTTGCATGGTCCTAATCTGGATGTTAAGCCTTTTTGTCTGTGTCCTGTCCTGTTTCCCTCTTGTGCTGGGTGTCTCCTTTACTGGTGTGCGGCACAGAGGTGGCCTTTTTGTCATGTAAACTCTGTCGTGTTGCAGTATTTGAATTTTTGACTGAGGTAGGCAGGGTTGGATTCCCCAGTGAATTTGGCAAACTGGCTACATTGAGTAGGTGTCCCCAACCATCTAGTTGGCTTTGCACCCCAGCCTCTATGATGGATGAGCCTGCTGGCCAGCGAGGATTGCACCATCCTTCAGGGAGCTTGGCTGTCCACCTTCAATACAAAAAACTTACCTGACGTGGGCTTTCGGCTGCTGGTGAGTGTCTCTTCTTCTGGTGGACCTTGTGCTGTCAGAAGTTGCAGATCATTGTGGTACGCTCTTTGGCTGGGATTTCATTTTTGGTATCATATATTGTGCTTTCTTTAAATTTGATCTTTGTTTAATTTTCCGGTGACTCTCCCAGGGACTTATGCTTGGGGTCCTGCCATAACCTGGGGTAAGCCAGCTTTTGGAATCATTTGGGGTCACCCATCCGTTTCTGTCAGTTCATTGTGGTGTTATCACCCATCCGGCATTTTTCTCTTTGATAGCTTAGGTTGCATTTTTGCAACTCCCCCTGCCTGTTTTTTCTTCCTCTTTGTATTCTGCTTCGCCTTTTGCTGTTTTTGGGTCTTTTTTCTGACCATTTCTGCTTTTTTTGCTTTTTCTGGCTGCTTTCGGGGCCTTTTTGTGCTTCTTTGGATTGTTTTTGAGACCCACTTTACACTTTTTGAGCCGCTTTCGGGGCTCTTGTGTGCTTTTTTGCTTGCTTACTGCTTTGCATTTTGCTCTTTGCCTTTTTGTTCTCATTATTATATTGTTAGATTGATTTAATTAGTTAATAAGGAATATTAGTTTGAACTAATTTATTGATAGTTTGTAATATTAGAATTAATAATTGAGTAAGACCTGATAGTTTGAAAAAAGTTATTCATTAAGTGTGTTTGTTGATTGAAATCACTGTCCAAAATGCATCTTCCCAAAACTTTAAATTTTCAAAGGAGGTCTTTAAAGCCTTTAACCTTTATGGTGTTTTGGCTATTCAGGTGACCCATGATGTTATTAGAGTCACCTTCTCGACAGATGAGGATTTTAAACATACTAGGGAATTGAC